CTATAGAAACAGGGGGAAACTCTCGTGCAGTAATTTATTCCAAGTCGAGTTTAGGGCTGCCGAGAAAGAATTACCATATTTATTCTAAACAGGTTAACCATTTGCTGGAAACTGTTCTTTACCAGTAGGAGTTGATCTGTAATCATAACCAAACAAGGTCGACCTATAGACCAATGCACTGTTTTAAACAAGCCTGCATTTGGCCACATTAAATGTAGGCACTGTGCATGCGCGGAAATGAGCTTCCTGTGAGGTGAGGCGTTTGTGCACGCACCATTTTGACAACAGCGTCACTGCGGTGGCGTGGCATCAAAGCCATGTGTTCGTCTACAAAGGCCTGTTCACACATACATCACAGCACCAACTCAGTGAAAAGCACCGACTTTGCACATGACCAGTGGTGTCACAAGAGGGAAGGGTGGGGGAGGGGGGGGAGTGCACGAGACGAGTGGCTTGCATGCTTTCGCATTCACAACTCGCAAGTGGAAAAGGTGGGGGGGGGGGGCACCACCTTAGGTGCAGCGCTCGGGGGGGGGGTGTCATGGCGGGCCACGCAACCCTATAATGGCATCACTGCATATGACCCCACTTTTTCCTGCTCACACACAATTCAGAGCCAGCTTTAGGCATTGACAGCAGTGCTGAGTGTTATTTCAACACCAATATTAATCTGCTAACTAACCTAAGAATAAGCTAATGTATTCCCCGTTTGAGAGAACCCAGACGCTGCTCTCACCAGCCACTGCAAAGCAATGAAGCTTCATGCACGCGCACCATGGGCAGTGCATGATTATGAACTCTGAGCTCCATGTGAAATTAAATTTGTGCGACCAGGGGACCTAAGCCGCTGTGAATGACAGAAGAGAGCATGCGTGCTGGACAAAGAGATGAAGAGGCAAAATGAAAAAGAGGTGTAACAGTTGAAAAGGCAAACATAAGAAACAATTAAAACAGGTAACCCCATGAGAGTTCGACAGGACTGCAGTTCCCGACTGTAACAGCCGAAATAATTTTTAACTGGGAATGTATGGATGAGGCTCTACCGTATATACAAACAATACTTAAAATTGAAAGAATAAAATAAAATGTGGAGGACAAGCACAGGACAACCACATTCTTTCGTAATTGTCCTGTGTTTGTCCTTTGCGTGTTATTCTTTCAATCTTAAGTATAATTTTCAACTCAGTGCAATTTGTTTAGAGTCCCTGAAAGATTAAGTTTTTCATAATCCAGATTCCATAGCAATACCACTAACATGGTGCATTACTTGAAACATCAGCTCACCGCCTAAGATCACTAGTCAGAAGGGAAAAGCCTCGACTTGATTAGAAAATCAGGGGAAATGACTAACCATGATGATAAAGAAAGTGCTTGCTTTATAAACACTTATTCAGGAATTATATGAAAATACTCTTGCCACTTTACGCGCACGTTTACAAACCACAAATTTTGCTTAAAACTGATCCAGTAATTCTTCAGATTCTTGGCAGCTGACAAATTAAAAGAAAAAAGTTCCCATCATTTTTAATTAGCAATGAAGGTGTGGAATGAAAACACCTTACCAACGGCCACGGCACAGAGCTGCGTGCCCCTGAACGGCCGCTTGTTGCCCCTGCGGCCGCAGATGCTGAAGTGCATCTGCACCTGCTTCCGCAGGAGCCGCTCCAGGGTGCGCCGCACAGCCTCCGCGATAGTGTTGCCACCCAGGCCGGAGAGCTGCTCCTTCTACACGAATAAAAGAAAAAAATATTGCACTTTAAGAATCACAGTTCATTTAATATGAGTAAGATGAAAACTGACTATGGTATGGCATCCATCTCACCTAAGTGAAAAGGTAATGTGAAATTGCATTAACTCTGTTGACAGTATTTACTACACTATTATATAAAAGAGAGTACGGAAGATCTAATGAAAATAAACCCTGAAGAAGGGGAGCAAGGGAAAAAAAAGGACAAACACATATCTCGAAACACACCTAGCTGCATTTGGAGATTTGTGTTTGTCTTTTGTCGCCATACCTTTTCTCCAGAGTTACTACTGTTATTGTCCAGCTAGCTTCCACCTCTGCAATTATTGCATTATCATCATACTGAAGATCGATCCAGACTTTTACTGAAAGTAATTAATAGATCAGGTAATTGGCCCCTGCTGTTCTTGATGTTCTTGTTGCCTTCTTCCCTTCATTTTATACTTTCCAGCGAGCACTGATTGCCCTTAATCATTCTATATGCCCCTGTTCTTGACTCAAAAGTATGTAGAGGTGTGAAAACAATAAGGCCATATCTTCAATCGTAATGCTGCCTTAATAAGTGGCTGTCTGTGACTAAATACAGATAATGGTTAAGCTAACATTTTGGTAAAGTTTAGATACGAAGCAGTTGAACATATGCCGTCGCTCCATTTCTCAAACCGGTTGAGCCACAAGGCACTAACATATAGTGAAAAAAAGTTTGATATTCACCAGGACAGCCTGATCAGGGGGGTTGATGAGGCGCCTCTCTGCTGCCTCAAAATCTTCCATTGTCGCCAGCGGTAAAATAAAAACCGCTGGCGGCACTGGGGCATCAGGCGGGCAGTTCGCACGCTCCAGCTGAGCAATGCGCACTGCCAGCTGTTCCTGGTTTGCCAGGACCTGCGCCGTGTCCTGGCGGAGAAGGTGCACCTCGTGCCGCACATCCAGCACCACCTTCAGTAGCTCCGACTGGAAGGCTAAAATAGAGGCAAAGAAAATTCTTGTGGTCAGAGATCTACGAAGGAAACGTGCTGAAAACAACACTTCACCTAAGACTAAAAAGAAAAAACAATGATAAAAAAAATTATAGCTCAAAAAAATATTTCCAAGCCTTATGCAATTGATGGCAGCAAATGTAGGCCGTCCTGCCAGTGGATCTTTCATCGCACATATTGTTTACGTCCAAGCAATAAATTATATTTTGTTCCACCTTTCGAGAGACCAGAAACCTACAAATCATAGACGTGATTGTAGCTTCAAATTTAGCTACTTTAGAAATTCCAGCTCCAAATCTGTACCCGTTATCACCTCAAGGACCACAGTAAAAAAAAGTCCGGCTCCTAGCGGATCATTACTAATTTCCCCCTTTATGTAGAGAATTAAGATACATGCAGGCACATTTTACATCAAATATATATTATCTTATGGAGCCGTACACATTTCAAATGCCAAAAGCATTGCTGCCCCCTCTGACAACGAAATCGTATGAGAACTACTACTTGCAGCGTATGAGTAATGTGCAAAAGTTCATTTTTTCTTAAGGTGAAAACGAGTATAGCTATATTTGAAAATGATATCCCCAAATTTAGCTACTCCCCCCCCCCAACCACTCCCCTTGGCCAGTGACCATGGAAAGCAGGGTTTGGGGGGGAGGTGAGGTTTGAGGGCAGCACTGTTGAAGGCCTAGGGTGGCAAAATGTTAAGTTCACCTCTCGTCACAAGACTTTCGGAAGGGGCACAGCGTCACTGAAGGTGCGCAGCCTCATGATACGTTGTGGCACTGGACTGGTGATTATGGTTTATAGCATCTACTACTGTCTTGTGTAAGGTGAAATAGAGCATAGGAAACAGCCTCATCACTCCACAAGATTTCAACACAATAGGTAAGCTTCTTAAAACAAGCTAAACATTAGTCACTTTTCTTAATCAGACACTAGCTTTTTTTAGATATTTGAATAATAAAAATAAAACAGCTGTCACTGATAATAAAAATAAAACAGCTAGCTTGAACATGCAAATCAACCCAAGCTATAGGCACCAGGTTGCCCCACCTAGCCCAGAGTGGCGGAGGGGTTAAGGTCGCAGGTCTTTCTCCGCCACCACTACTGCCGGCTAAATGGTGCCACCTGCTGCCCTATGTGTGTGCTTACTTGCACAGTCACCGACATTTTTTACTGATGTAAGCGATTGCTGGCATCATGTGTACAAAGTCTGCTTTGGGGTCCCTCAAGGCACTGATACCGACGGACGTTGGGGTTCCTTAAGATACTGATATCAATGCCACTGATAAAGAGGTCGCAACCGTTGGACATATGGAAAACTATTTTATCTCAGAGTTGATGAAATGACATGTCGCAACTAGGATGCTTTCATGTACTATCGGGGAAAAATGAAATGCGAACAGAGGAGCGCGTGGCTCGCGGTACAGGCTGCGCCGCCTGGAAGTGAGCCTAGGAGCGAGGGTGCGTGGCCTACTCCGACGTGTTCACGCCCCTCCCTCTGCTCCTCAAGCTTCAGCAGTGCGCCTCTTAGTGCGCTGAAAGCTATCGCCGCTATCTTTGCTGGCTCAGCGCGAGCGGTGGAAAGAAGCTCGCCGCACTCGCCGAGCAGGCAAAGATAGCGGTGACGGCTTTCAGCGCACTGAGAGGCGCACTGCCGAAGCTGGGCGAGCGCCAATCGAGGGGCGTGAACACATCGAAGTAGGCCACGCACCCTCGCCCCGAGGTTCACTTCCAGGCGGCGCAGCCTGTACCGCGAGCCACGCGCTCCTCTGTTCGCATTTCATTTTTCCCCGATAGTACACTTTGCTCAGGTTGGCAATACTTGCACTTTCATAACGATTTTGTTTATTTTTTGCTTAGGAGCATGAGAGGTCTTCAATTTGTGATTCTGGAGTATGATCGTTTGTATACGGAGTATTGCCATAACTGCAGACTTATGGCAAGGCCACGTCGAGGCATGTCCAACACTCCTGTTTTGGTGTAAGCACCGAGTGCCTGACTTGGGCCTCAAAACGTTTATTTAACAAGACCCCCACCGCTGCCACCTGTCAGTGCCACAGTGCAACTGCCATCATGACAAGCATCAATGTTCAAAAGGCAGAACTGGTCTCATACAAAGCTAGAAGTATGAACAGATAGGTTTCAAAGGTGCCCCTGCTGCACGAGGATTCATACAGCCAAGGCACATTTTCTAAAGCAAGAAGGCTTGCCATTCACGTTAAGGTTTCAAAGGTGCTTCTGCTGCACAAGGATTCATGCAGCCAAGGCCTATTTCTAAAGCAAGGGGACTTGCAATTCATGTTGAAGTGAGATTATGTAGATATCAGCAATGACCGGTTCATGTAAAGATGTCAAACATGTTGTTCTTAACAGGCAATCAAACATCTCATTCTTGAAATGTAAAACCGAGCATTACGAGTGATGGGCAGGTTTTGTTTTGGTGGTCGAACTATATCGAGAGTATGGGCATTTAATGCCATACTAAGGGCATTGGAAAAATGAAATGTACAGATGTGATTGTGCCAGTCTTCTAAACTTGGTCAGGTCAATATTAAGCAGTGATCGTAATGAAACATCTGGTATGCTTACGGGACATGGTAGCCTCAACCACCTGAGCTGCCTCAGCTGCCTCCAAATTCCGCCTCCTGGGGGCTTGCCGCTCTGCCAGGGCTGTGGTAAAGTATGTTTTAGTCTCAGATTAAGGTCTTTCAACTCGTCACACAAGTCATTCACACTTTTCAGCAACTACATATCAGCCATTTTGGCACAGCCAGTGTCCATCTCTGCCCAACATCTCAAGGGCAGTCAATGTCAAGAAATCTGACAGATACGCTTCAAATGCACACCTTTTTGGGAGGCAAAGTATGTTTGTCAGCTCCACTTCCAAAATGAGCATAAGGTGTCCAAAGCTTAAGCTTGGTGACTTCTTTTATAAACGGTTTTCGAGGCAAGCAAAAAATTTTATGAATGACCGGAGGCAGCAGATTGGAGGCGACAGCAAATTTTCTGCAGTCTGCCAAAAAAATGTGCATGTGAAACGTGTCATCACAAATGCCGGTATAGACAGCCTTTTTTAAAGGGATGCTGAAATGAAAATTAAAATATACTTCCCACGTTAAGAAAGAAGTTAAATGTAATCACTGAAGTCAGCTAATGACAATCACACGTTAGTATTTTTAACAGATGGTTATATTTTTCGTTCCAAACAGCCAATTCCATCGAGAGCAGCTGTCGGAGAGCACTATGCTTCTTGAGAAAACCAGCACCTACAGCGCGCTCGTGATGTAAGGTTTAACTTCGCGGGCAAGGCTACAAGGAGGCTGGTGTGGTTGTGAACTGTGCCACTTGGTAGTGTCAACATGTTACAATCTGGCGGTTCAAGAGGCCCGCTTCCCGCAGAAGTTGAATAGGCACGGGAGAGAAGGGAAGTTCGGTTCCGCCAAGGGAGAGAAGCGAAGTTCAGTTCCGCCAAGTTTAACAGTCTATGCACGCTCAGAGCTTAGCACAATACTTCTAGGGAGTGGCACTGCTTTTATGTGAAGTTTTACTTAACGTTCGGAAGCATCCACCAGGTGTAATCTGGTAATAAATTTTTTTTTTTTATTTTTTTTTTTTTCGTTTTAAAAAGTTTTTTGGCGTCAATTGAAACTAAAAATTGGCATCTTTGTGGTGTGGCCAAAATGTGCTTGGTATTTAAACCATAAAATAGACTAGGCATTTTGCTGCAGTACCCCTTTAAAGGGATGCTGAACCGAAATTTTGATTACACAAAACACGCGGTAAAAGTGTGCAATGGGATGCTACAAACACCAAAACACCACTCATACAGCGATATCTTGAACGGATGACCAAATTTTTCAAGAAAAGGAGGCGCATTTGAGAGAGATGATGTCGCCATGTTTCTCCGAGAAGGAGAGGGAACGGCCTCGCGTCTTCTCTGCCTCACAGCCTTGAGGGAGCGAAGCGGAGAGAGGAGGAAACTCGGTATAGTGATGTCACGCGCCTCGTCGGCCTAGTTCAATCTGGACCTCTTTTTCCAAAAATGCGGCCATCCATTCGAGATATCGCCTTACGAGTAGTGGTGTAGGGATTGTAGCGTCCCGCCTACATTTCCTGCATTGTTTTTTCTGAAATCCAAATTTCGGTTCACCATCCCTTTAAACTAATAACACTGGCTGTATCAGACGGTGGACAAGGGGAAACATCTCAGCTGTCTCATTTATGCTCATCAAATCATTAATTCCAACAGTTACAATTGTTACAAGAACCTTACATGCAGAGTGAAAGAGGTATAGCAGCTCAAGAGTGAAGCCACTGATCTCTGACAATTTGCTGGATCGCGCATCCCCGCTTGGTTGCTGTAGCACAAATGCGGCCACCGCACAGTCACCTTGCCACAAAAAATCTACCTTTCAGAGCGCAGCTAGGATGGGCGGCAGTGTGCTGAAGACACGTTTTCTGCTTACTTATTGTCATTTGTCGTAGAGGTTGTTTAAAACCTGGCGTAAATGGTGACCTTCGTTGGCCTTCGAGAACATGAGCAAATTTGTACAAAAGTCCAGCACCAGAGGAGAAAAGCACAACTCCTTGAAAGCAAGTCTAGCCGGTCTAGCGGCATGATAGAAATTTCCTTGGTATGCCAAACTGCTGCATCTCTGTGCCTTCACACACGTGGATAGCGATCAAGAATCGACGCCGTATTGATGTGTTTTGCATGTGCAACGTGCGTGAAAATCTATGTGCCTCTGGAGCAGCGTTTTACTTTACTGTGGTGACTGTAGTGTCGAGACCGGTTATAACAAAATAGCGGCTACATCAAAGCAATCTCGATTTCCCATTCCCTTTCACACTTCGTTAACCAAAGTCAGTTATAACGAAATAGCGGATACAGCGAAGTGATTTTCGATTCCCGTTGACTTCGTTATAACCGGTCTCGGCGGCATTTGTAAATTGCGGCGTTCGTGGTCCAGATAAGTCTGATGCAGTGGCGACGGACGAGGGGGGGCGGCAGCGGTGGTTGAAGGGAGGCTTTCTTGTGGGCACTTACCGAGGTGGTGGAATTCATGAGTAATCGCATGAGGTTACGATAGAGCAGTTTGCAGTAAGTATATATGCAATTATTTTTATAAACAAAATAAAGTGTGCTATTTGAGGCATTCAGCAGTTCCAATGAACGCAACACTTTATGCTTGTTATATAATGAAGCACATAAAAAAATTTTCCGGGTTAGACTCTTTACTGACCCATGAAAATTACAGTATGAATGTTACTGGATCTTATGATTAGGCCTGCGCTGTGCTCTATAAACCGCCTTGCCTGGCGGTGAAGTCTGATCTTTGAGTAGCACCAAGCTGTTAGCTTGACCGGTATCCAAGGATGCGAAGGCACAGAGATGTAGCACTTCGGCGTGCCAAGGAAGCTTTGATCACGTTGCGACACCGACAAGACTTGCACTTGGCGAGTTGTGCCTTTTTCCTGCAGTGCTGTACTTTCGTAAAACTTTCCACGCGTTCTTAAAGGTAATTGTCAACGGTTACACCAGGTTTTCAAAAAATTCTCCGGCAAATAATAACGAACGAGCAGAAACATATCTTCAGCACGCTACCGCCCAGCCTCGCTGCGCTCCAAAAGGTTGATTACCTGTGGCACGATGGCCAACCGGTGGCCGCATTCGAATAGCGGGGAAGCGCAATCCAGCAATTATCGTAGAGATCAGTGAGCGAAGCAGATTAATGCTAACCACAGTTTGTTGAACATTTAAAAAATAGCTGATAACCTTGTATGTGATATCTCTAGAAATACAAACAAGCGGGTTAAATATACAACTTTCCTATGTCAGTCTAGATTATCTGTGAATCATTGGAAAGAGCCGACTGTGAAACTTACGAGATGTAGGAGCCCGACTTTCTTTGGACCACCCCTTACTGGATGGAGGGTCTGGGGCCCTGCGCTTGGGAGGGGCTGGAGAAAAGTATCACAATTTACTTTCCACATGGGCAATTATGGCTTGGCCAGAGTGCCCCTTTTCTTTCTAAAATCTTAGACAACTTTTATCTACTCGTTTAGAATGCAATGCATGCAAAAGGCATGAACCCCCCCCCCCCTTTTTTTCTTGCTGCCATACTGCCAAAATGGAACATCAGAAAGGTTTAGGCGTGATTTTAAAACAAACTCTCTTTAATTTCATAAATTATTGTTTGCTTATATTCACATAAAAGAGGAATTTTGTATCCACGAGCATCTTTCAAATAACAAAATCTTAAAATCCCAATTCAAATTAACTGTTTTCTAAAGTCAAATGGAGGAATCACTTTTTACAGTTTTAGATAGGTTTGAACCTTCATGAATAACGTGTAGATTCTCATGTGTAAAACATGTGGAAATAAAGCAAGGACACTTACCCCTTGCACAGGCACCTCCCAGGCCAGTAGCTGCAAAATCAATGTCAAGTGTAAATACATTGTCAGTGTCTCTCGCAAGGTAAAAAAAAGATGAAATATATTTTTCTTTACTGTAGGCTAACTCACGTGGAATGGGCACTGAGAGACGCACAGGAGCGTCCGCCGTGTTGTCTCTCCCAGTGGCTAGAACAGACATATTATCAGAATAAAATTAGGTTAAACAAAGAACCATTTCTTCTGCTGAAAATGTTAAATTGCTATGATCAACATACCTCCATCATCGGGCTCCCCGACATCTGTGCTTTCCAAGCACGAGTTCTCCAGCCCCTCGGTGGCCTTCCTTTTGGCCTTCTTGTATGTTTCTTTAAGAGAAAGCAAATTGATACAGACCCACTAATTATTTAGCTCGTGCAAAACCTGGTTTACAATACTGCAATGCCAACCCATAACAGAGCAAAAAATCACTAAAACCAATTTACAATTTTCTAGATATGGTTCCTTTCACAGCTTACAATACCAAAAGGATATATTATTGTAGTGTTCTGCCGGGAAACCGGCATTTGGGGGCAATGCCTGATAGCAGCACTCTTTCAAGATCAGCATTTGTAAAGGCTTCAAATACTTTTTTTTTATGTACAGCACAGTGTGGTGTCTGCTGCTAGCATGAGAAGCGCACTGTTGCTTGCATCATTCTGAAATTTAATGCAAAGGCCCCATATGCAGTCATGGTCAGAAGAAATGCAAAACATCTGCAGCTGCACAATCAGTTGTCGCGATTCCACAAACATCTACACAGAGCAAAATTAACTTTGGCTCAAAAAGCAGCAATGCCGAGAGAATAAACACCCATGACTGAAGCACTTAGTAGTGTGTTGGGGTTTATGTGTTGAGAAAATGACTGAGAGAATAAGACGAGAGCTCACAGGGACGTCGGAACACTGAACTCTGGTTGGAATGATTAGTGGTAGAAATAAAGCTAGCTGTTTTTATCTCCACTGCACTCATCAAACGTGTTTGAATTTGAAAGCCCAATGCCGGACGCTGGCATTCCCATTCTGATGTGTTCGACGAGTGCAGTTGAGACAAAGATAGCTAGCTTTAGACCTACGCATCAATCATTCCAACCAGAGTTCAGCGTTTTGACATCCCCATCCAACCTCGTCTTCTCCTCTCACTCAGGTTTTCGCCGCATAAGGTGACACTTTCATTTGTAGGGCGAGTGCAACTTTGAAATGGCGTGCACTAGGAGCAGCCGAAGCAACTTTAGCTGCTGCTTGCGAGCTTCAAATCTGTCCATTGTATGTAAAGCCCCATTCACGCACTTGCATTTGACTACGAATGAATGAGACACGATCAGCTTTTAGCCTCTTGCGACTGCCTACGACCGGCTGCCATTGCTGGACTGCTGGTCATAGGCCTTCGCAAGAAGCTTAAAAAATCAGTCTTGTCTCAGTCGGTCCTAGTCAAATGCATCTGTGTGTTAACGGGTTTTCATAAGACCTATAAGCCGGAACATGTAAACGTGTGTCACTCAATACAGACATGGCAACCTAGCAAGTGCTACGCTCCCTTTCGTGCGTGTGCAGTGCAAGACTACGGCTTTTTGAAGAACAGAGATACTCCAGGCTCACGCTCGTTTCCTACACTGGCTGCTGACAGTGCTATGGCAACTGTGAGGGAAAACGTGCACGTAAAAGCTCTGCTCTATTGCCACATGATACATATTTTTGACTATGAAATTTCAATTGCAATCATACTCCCAGAGAGCTCGCATTTCATTACCAGTCAAGTTTCTGATGCTGCTGTCAGGTTCGATGGGCTAGCTCAACACCATCTAAAATAATCAAAGCACCTGCACTAGCATTTCGCAGTCATCACAGTGAGATCGAGCACTGAAACAGATCAAGTGCTGCATCTTTCATGTCATTGTGATAATGCTCCGAGCTACTCTTTCCTTTCTGTTATCACAAGTCATATGATTTGTTTCATCTGTCTATATTTATGGTTGCACCAATAAATGGGGGATTCTTGGTCACTCCCGAATGGCTCTCTGGTTGTCTGACCTGTCTGAGACGTCATCTTTGATCGTGTCTGCGGGTTTGTCGGGCTGTGAAGGCTCTGGTGCTGGACGAGGATTCCAGTCTACGTCCGGCAGTAAGACCAGGGACGTAGTCCCTGGTCTTACTGCCGGACGTAGACTGGAATCAGCAGTCATATGATCAATTAGTGAAAATTACTCAAAGCAGTCATATGATCAATTAGTGAAAAGACGGTGAGAGAGCACGTGAGCTGGTGGTAGCTAATCATGTCGTATTGCACCTGAGACTGCGGTGGAAGAAATCGGAAGAACTTTCAGTAGAAGGAACGTTCTCTGTGTCTGTTTGAGACGTTCTCTCTGATTGAGACGTTCTCTGTGTCTGTTCCTTCTACTGAAAGTTCTTCCGATTTCTTCCACCGCAGTCTCAGGTGCAATACGACATGATATGATCAATACAAGCTTGCCGTCGTCTGTCAACAAACCATTGGAATGCTACGTTTTTGGCGTCGATGTGTGTCCCCATGCTCTTTTCTATGTTGCAATTTTTGCTTCTATGTCCTCCTGGCAGAGTCAGACTACTTTAGCAGCCTAAGCAAAATTAACTAGGCTTGTTTCACTGCATGTGGCGATTCATTCCGCGTAGACGCCGCAGAATGGACGCTAAAGCCTGATTCGCAGGATGAGATTCTGCTTGCTATTTTCAGTCATTATGTCGCTCCAGCTGCAAAAGCATGAACTGTAGCGGAGATGGTTGACGTTGATACGAAAAATTGCAAGCAGAATCAGTCCAAGTGAATGAGACATAAGTCGGTGATGGCAACTAGTAACAATTATCAACATCTTGTATCTACTGTTTACACTGAGCCTGCTTACCTTGACCAACCTTCAAAATTAAAGGTCTTTTGAAGGCCTGCGCTTACTCCATATTGCAATTACCAGGTCAATGTTTTCGCTACGGGCCGCTGTCGTTTGAACGAGCAGGAACGTTTGGAAGAGCAGACAACGGTTTGAACGATCAGGCAGCCGTCCGAACTTGAAGACACACTAAACATAGTCCGCGGGTGGTCCAAACAACTTGGCCGTTTTTTTCACATTCATGTTGGAACAAAACAAATGAATTCGATGGCCATAAGTATCCGCGAATTCAACTCAAAGTGCTTTCTGTACAAGCAATCGTGGTCCAATGCCATCTGGTTTTCCTTTTCACTAGCCCTGTCCATGTTTTTGGATGAACCAAGCAGGCAGAAAACTCATGAATACTGATCTTCAAACCTTTCGCAACTGTTTTGGTACAGCCTCAGTTGCTGCATTTTGACGAGAAGGCAAGTTTTTGCCTGGTTTCTTCTAAAACAACACAGGCATGCACGCCCCGCATGGTGACTTCCACCCACAGCCCCAGACCGGAAGTGTGCCTGACGCACCACCACCGCACCATGACATAACAGAGCTGAATTTGTGTATATATATAGACAAAGTTTTCGGGATCGAATTGGGTAAATACTAGATAAACCTTTGTCTTATTAATGTGGCCAGCTTACATTATGGACAATCTTAGGAAGGAACGGAGGTGTCCATATTAACGAGGCATCCCTGTATGTGCAAACTACACTCTCAGTCCAAATCTAAACATTGTTTACCTTTAGATATACTACATGATCATATCAATAACTAATGCCCCTAGGTATGTGCAAAGATTTCACAACTTGAAGCCACGAGGATATCATACAAACACCACTTACTGCAATAGGAGAACACCCGCACAGGGTGGAGGGGCCACTCCTCTTCATTCCCAGGTGGGGCCTGAGACTGGGCCAGTTTTATCACTGATGCCGGTGGAACGTTTTTTGGCCAAGAACACATCGTCTTGTCAGCATCGAGCCAGGCCGTCGGAACAGCGGCCACGCTGTCATCCCCGACAAACTCAACCGCACAAAAAGGGCGGTTTTCCTTTCTGTAATGAATATAACATTTTCGTTACTGCAAGGCAAAGCCACAGCTGATTAGCAGTGGGTAATAATTCAAGATTAGGGCCGTGCTGCTGAGAAAGGGAGGATGGGCCTAAGAGGACACGGAATAAGTTGATGAGGGCTCACTCGCGTGGAACTGAAGATGGACGGTTTCTGCGGCCCAGCAGACCCGCCAATAATGAAAGACGTCCGACTCCGTCAAAGGTTTGAGCATGACTGACCTATGATCACGGGCAAGCGCTCGCAATGCACGGGCTCAAGTGCAAGCCCGTGTAAGTGGCACACCGAGTTCGTGGTGTGCCGCACTATTTATTTTTAAATACTGCACAATGTTCCTTGGGTTTAGCAAAGCGACTAAGAATGAGATAGAGTTCCTGAGGGCCGGCAATCAGAGCATTTTATTGGGGAAAAAAAATGAGAGAAAAATCAGATTTCTTTTCTTACCTATGCCTGTTAAATGAAATGTCACAAATGTTTTTGTTTTTTTCCTAAATTCACACAAAAAGGTGTGCATACTGACCCAAAAAAAGAGAAGAGTTTCATATTTTTGTTGTAACTTACGATTAAATTAAGTTTGCTATTTGATATTAAAAAAAAATGCATTAATTTACTGATCTCTATGACAATTGTTAGATCACGTTTCTCCACTCCGCGAATGCAGCCACCAGACGGCCATCATGTACCAACGGGATGTTGACCAGTTAAAGCGTTTTAAAGGGATACTTCAACGAAATTTGAAATATACCCGTCGTGTTCACAAATAGGCTGAATATGATCCACAATATCCGTAAATGACAATAAAACGTCTGTATTTTGAGCCTGATGGCTGTGTTTTTCGTTATAAACGGCCCACTCTGGCAAGTGCTCGGAGAGCAGCCAGCGGAGAGCACATGGCCTCCGCCGCAATCGTGACGTAGTTTGTCTCGAGATGAGCAAAGCTGCGTCAAGGCTGACATCGAGAAGATGTCCTAGACGTTCCAGCCACGGAGGCGGCTGCTTTTATACGAATTTTGAGTGACGGGTTAATCTTCTATAATCTTGTAGAGGAACAATAGCGGCATTTTGGGACACACAAAATATATTCTCGGGGAGGCGTTAGCAGCAGCCACCGGGTGCTCTTTGCTAATCGTTTAACTCGTTTTCAAATTCCTTTTGTGTCTTTTTCAACAAGAGATTGGTGCGTCTGATGTG